TTTTGGACTTTTTTTTTTTATTGCAGAAAAGCATATTTACATTACAAATAAGGCGAACATGCCAATGTATTCAGATGAGAATTGAACAGTCAGTGAAAAGGGGGAGGACAAAAACAAACCAAAAAACAATGCAAGGGACCACTACACAGTTCCAGGAAGTCTACAAAAAAGTCTATACATATCTTCATAGCTGTTATTATTGATACATTTAAGGGATCTTAGATACAATCTAAAATCATGTACAAATGCATTGAACACAGGGGGTGATTTCAGTATTTTTTGTTTATGTATGAAGAATTTTGCCAGACAGAGAAGTAGATTGTAGCAGAGTTCTTGGTTGTTTGTTTGAAGGAGAGTTCCAAAGGTGACGACATCTCTTGAAATGGGACATGGGATTCCAATCTGAGGTTGAATCCAGTTTTCAAAACAGTTCCAAAACGTCAGTGTCTTGTTGCATTCAAATAAAATATGATCAGTTGTTTCAACATCCTTCCCACAAAAGGAACATGAATTATCATCAATGTTAAAACGTTTTCTGAGCAGATCCTTTGAGGGATAGACATTGTTTAAAATTTTAAAATGTGTTTCTTTGACTTTAGGTTGAACAGGAAGTTTTAAATAAAGAGTCCTTAGTTTAATAATGGAGCTTTTACCAAATTTGTAAATTATGTTGTTCTTGTTGACTTTACAAGGGTATAGTTGATCAGTAAAACACTGTCTAATAAATTGGTTGGTACACTTTTTATCCATAAGGGGAATACCTTGGATGGAGATAGAACCATTCTGTGGATTTATAGGTTGGTGTTGAATAATGTTTCTGTAATGGAAGACCACCTCTTTAGGAAGCGCTATTAATAATTTTATAAAATCAGATTTAGGAGGGCTAAAGTTATATTTAAGGCAAAATTCATCGTACCCTAGTAGTTCACCATTATCTTTCATCAAGTGTACAACAGACCAAATTTTCCTATTCATCCAATCTTCATAAAATAGTGACCTATTACAGCATAATACATATCTATTGTTCCAAATTATAGATGAGTGAGGGGAATAATTATGTACATACAACAACTTCCAATACATTAGTACTTGTTTGTGGAACTCTGATAATTTTGTGGGCAGTTTGTTTATATCAAAATCTGATAACAGTAAAATTTTTAGACCACCCATTTTGTTAAATATATGACTGGGGATAGAATACCAGAAAGCGTTCGGATTCTTGAGCCAAGATTTTAGCCAATTAATTTTGAGTGCTAAGGCAATTGAAATCTATTACTTTTAAGCCTCCATCTTTAATTTCTTTGACCATTTGATCTTTCTTTATATAGTGTGGCTTATTTCTCCAAATGAAGTTAAAATTGATGGTGTTAATCTTTTTAATTAGGTTGTTTGAAATTGCAGTACTGCAGGTTGGATAAACTAATCGAGATATACTCTCCATTTTGGTTAAATAAATGCGCCCTAATATGGAGAGATCCCTCTGAAGCCAAATATTTAGTTTGGCTTTAATTTCATTAAGTTTATTTGTTATGTTTGTCCTTAGGTTAAATTGTTGGTCTTTAGAAATACATGTTCCTAGATATTTAATTTCGGATTTGATGGGAATGTTACAAATTTCTTTTAGAGGGGAGTCATGAATAGCCAATAGTTCACATTTTTTCAAATTTAGCTTAAGTCCACATGCTGCAGAGAATAGCTTTATTTTATCAATAGCAATAGGAATTTGTTTATAATCTTTTAAGAAAAGCGTAGTGTCATCCGCTAATTGACTTATGATCAACTCTGTGCCAAGGACATTTAAGTTTTTTAGATCCACACAGTTTTTTAAGTAGATTGCTAACATTTCACTAACTAATATGAAAAGGCAAGGAGAAATTGGGCAGCCTTGTGGTATGCCCACAGAGACATTGAACCTGGGGGTGGAACCTCTGGGTAATGAAACACAGCTGCTGATATTCCGATACAAACCTCTGATTAGATTAGTAAACTTAACTCCAAAGCCAAGATGTTCTAGAACTGAGAAGATAAATCGGTGTTCCACTGAATCGAATGCTTTATAGAAATCTAAAAATAGTATGAAACCGTCATCATTTATCATATCACTGTATTCAATAATATCCATTACCAGTCTTATATTGTTGTGAATAGATCTTCCTTTTAAAAAACCTGACTGTGTTTCCGAAACAATATCTGAAATTCCAGATTGAAGACGTATCTTGAAAATGTAAGTCAGAAGTTTATAATCTGTATTTCTTAGGGTAATTGGTCTTCTGTTTTCAATAATCCTATGGTCTTTATCTGCTTTTGAAATTGATATTATTACGCCATGTCGCATTGTAGGAGGGAGATCGCAGGATTCAAAAATCTCTGAGAAAACACCAAACAGTAATTCTTTTATTTCTTCCCAGAAATGATGGTAGAAGTTGGCTGTAAGTCCTTCTGGACCGGGAGCTTTGTTCAGGGATAGTCTCTTCACAGCTTTATCCAGCTCTAAGCTTGTTATATTGTCATCACATAAAAGTCTGAAGTCATCATTGATTTTAGGAATATGCATTTCAATACTGTTCAGGAAGTTATTACAATTTTCTTCAGAGAATTTTGAGGAGTACAAATTGTCATAAAATTTAAGAATTTCCTTTGAAATTATCTCGTCATCTGTAATTTCTATATTATTTATCAATGTTGATATTATACTGTTCTGTTTTTGTCTCCTTTTTTCCAGATTACAGAAGTATGCATTATTCTTTTCACCCTCCTCAATCCACTTTGCCCTAGACCTAATAAATGCACCTTTTGCTTTTTGAGTATACATTTCATCTAAAGTGGATTGAAGATTCCGAATCTTTTGTTTGTCATCCTCCGTAGGGCTAGAATTGCTGCAGTAAAAATTCTGTTCTTTAACAAGATCTATCTCTTTCTTCTGAGATTCTCTTAAAATTGTTTTGCTAAATGAGATTGAAAATTGTCTAACTTTATATTTGAAAAATTCCCATTTCCGTATTGAAGTGTCTAGTTCTTCTGACGTAATAACACCTGACAGAATAGATCTTATCCCGTCACAATAAGAATCATAATTTAGTAGAGTGGAGTTAAATTTCCAATATTTAGTTGTCCCCCGAGTGGAAACCTTTGGTTTTAATTGTAGATAAATAAGACAGTGATCTGTCAGAGGTGCAGCGGAGATATCAGTATTGATCTCATATGATAGTAAATCATTAGCCACAAGCCAGTGATCAATTCTGGATTTATAATTTGTGTTGAACCATGTGAATCTAATTGTATTTGGGTTAAGATGACGCCAAGCATCCACTAAATTCTGTTCATAGCAAAAGTTATTAAGGATGGAGTTTGGGTGACTTGAGGAATATTTGGAGGGCCATTTATCCAAAAAATCATCCTGAACCATATTAATGTCTCCCCCAACAATGACATTGTTGGTGGAGTATGATACTTTAAGATGCTCAAGCTGTGAGGCTATTACTTCTAACAGTAGTTTATTTTGGTGTATAGTATTGTACCCATACAGATTTGTTAAAATAAATTTTGCATTATCAATATCAATAACAAGGATTAACCAGTGACCATGTTCATCTTTGTGTTGAGCGATAACTTGGCCCTGGAAGTTTTTTAGTAAAACAGCAACCCCTGAAGTTCCGTGGCAGAAGTAAGCTCCGTCGCCCCACTGTTTAGACCAAAACGTGTTGTCCTCAGGCTTGGCGTGAGTTTCTTGTAGTAATACTATATTAGCATTTTTCCCTTTGCAAAACAGGAAAAGACTTTTCCTTTTAGTTATGTTTCTTAATCCCCTTGCATTAATTGAAATTAAAGAAAGGTTGCTTTTCAAAAACATGTAACACAAATAATAACAGAACAAATTATGTGCGTGTTACCTTAGAAGAATGTAACAAGTAGCAGAACCCTGAGATAGAAATGAACATTTTAGCTCACATATATGGATTTAAAACCCATTTCCAGTGCCAATTAAGGAGTTATCTTTTGACCGTTGATGTATGCATGACGACCCCTGTAGATCGCCTTCAGCCCCGCCTTGCGTGCTTGCTCCACCTTTGGCCATACGGCCAGCCGTGCCTTTCTCTCTTCCTTGGTGAGATCCTCAGCAAATTACATGTTCAGCTCCCTGCAGATCGGGTGGCCCTTGGTGGCACGCCAGAGTTCCTCCTTGTAGGTTCTCAGCGAGAATTGTAGGATGATCTGTCGGGGACGGCCATTGAGGGGGGTACCGAGGCGGTGGACGGTGTCCAGGAACAGTTCCACCTTTTCAGCCCAGTGTGGCAGAATCTTTATTAAAACGCCAGCTACCTTTTTTCGCGTGTCTTCATCCTTTTCTTCTTTAAGATCGCTGAGTCGCAGATTCCATCGTCGCTTGTAAGACTCTTGGTCTTCCGTCATTTTTTCAACACGGAGCAATTTGGCTGTCAGATCTAGATTTGTAGCCTTTAACAATTTAATCTCTTCAGTCATTCCTTTGTTCTTTTCTTTGAGATCTTTTATTTCACCACTGTTGAAGTCAACCGCTTTCACAATGCTGGCAATGGTGAGAGTGTTTTGTTTTAAATCGCCTCGGAGCTCTTCAATTGAATTTTTGAGACTTTCAACTGCAGCCAAAATGACACTTGCTTCAGCGCTGATAGCAGCCTCTTCATGTCCTCTTTTTTTTTTTAACGGCAGTGCAGCTTTACCTGGTGAAGTTAAGAGATTCTTGGTCCCCCTCAAATTGGTCTCCATAGCCTCTTGGCACGCATAGTCGTGGGGTAGCAAGGCTTTGATAGCTTTACCGTTAGCTTTGCTGTTAGCCATTCTTCAGCATGCAACCGGAGTAACTTCCAAAGTGTTCCAATGACGGTCAAAGGCGCGTTTGAGAGTAATTATTGCTTAGGAAATAGGTATTAGGTAGTTTTGTGAGTTACATAGAGCTACATCTGCTATAAATTCAGGGTTAGCTACTCAGAGCACGCTACTTCTCGGCTACCCGCTCCACCATCTTCCACCGGAAGTCCGAGAATCTACATTTTGGACTTAATTCCTACCGTAAAAGAAGAAAGGTGACGTCATTGTTTACGGTAGATGTGTGTTGCTGTCTATGTCGATGGTTGCTGTCTAGCAGCTAATTCCTGAGGTCTTCTGCATCTTTTTACTTTGTGTTTGGCTCTAGGCGGCTTTGCATGTGTGTTGGCTGATGCTATTGCTATCGGAGGATCTCGCGCGGCGGTGGTTGAGTGCTTTTGTTGTTAAAGTTAATGTGTTAGGAACGTAAAGCCAGCATGCTAACTGTTACTTTAAGTCAGCATCAGCATAAAGAAAACAAACATCAGCTGCTTCTATTGATTTAGACATGTTTTCTACTCTTGCGTTGCGTGTCTCTAATATGTTGTAGCGTTTTGCTGTGAAGCTGTCCTCCATCAGAGACTGCTGGTCCACCTGTCTGACATTCAGGAGACAGTCTCCTTCCAGGAGGGGAGGTCTCCTTTCAACATGGCTTCTGAACTCCATGAAACCATATTTAGGGCCAAGCAGGAGCACCACAAAAACCTTTTTCTGAACTACAAAAACCTGAACATGTTTCCGGTGGAGCTGCTGAAGGATGAAGGGCTGCGGTTTCTGGAGAGATTGTACATGAAGAGAAACTCCCTCACCACACTGGTACCTACTCAGATGACTGGTTTTACTGTGTTCTAAAACCTTTTATGAATAAGTGCTTCATAGATACTGTGATGTTTCACATTATTGATGTTTGGTTTTGTCTTTTCAGCCTGACAATCTTGCTCTGAAGCTCCCAAAGCTAAATGAACTGTGAGCACTTCCCCCGTTTTTTTTTATAACTTTAATACAGTCTAAAAGCTGACAATAACCTGTTATTTATTTGTTTTGATTTTAGGTACCTGCACTCAAACAACATAGTCGTTATACCCAAAGGTAGGAACTCCATATAGCCATGCTAGAGTACCAGTGTCTGATCTGATTAGTTTGTTTAAAGCTGAAGTAGGTGCTTGATCTGATCTCCAGCTATTGGAAACTTGGCCAGACTTCAGTCGTTGGACCTGAGCAATAACGTCCTCCAGCTGCTCTGTCCAGAAGTTGGCCGTCTAAGGTCTACGCCACCTGAGACTGTCCAACAATCAACTTAAAAAACCTTCCTTCAGGTAAAATGAGACAAGTTTTAAAGCGTACTTTCCCTTGAAAGCATCAAATACTTGAGACACAGAACTAGAGAGATATAACCTCATCCTTTGATCTTCTATGTATGGAGCGAGTCCTATTTGCTCTGTGGGAATCACCTCAGCCAAAGCACAGTAATATAAACTTCTGATAGATCTTCACAAAGTCTAAATAGATTTTGATCAACACCACGTTCAAATATTACAGGAACGTTTTACCAGACAGAAGCAGCATTTACTCCAGACCTGTAGATATATTCAAGGCTGTATATATGCATCACAGTCTGTATTAAAGGTAGACCCATCGGGGTAGACCACCATATTGGTTGGCCGATATTTGTTGCTAGTTAAGCCGATTTAAAGTCAGGCACATCTTCGGGCAGCTCGGTGCTTTTGTAGAATTTAATTTAAATGTTTTTTTTTTTACTAAACATCTGCATAATAAATACACTAAATTAACTTTATTTAGGTGTCTGACTTTAACACTGAGCAGTGCATTTGACATTTTAGCATGAGTATTGGGAAATTTCTAGATATTGGCCCATAAAAATTGGCAGTACGTATCGGCCATCGACTGATCATGTCTTCCACATATCAGTATCGGCAATAGAAAAGCCAATATTGGTCAACCTCTAGTCTGGATGTTCCTAAAGAGGAAAAATAAATATACAGGCCCTTCTCAAAAATTAGCATATTGTGATAAAGTTCATTATTGTCTGTAATGTACTGACAATTATTAGACTTTCATATATATTAGATTCATTACACACAACTGAAGTAGTTCAAGCCTTTTATTGTTTCTAATATTGATGATTTTGGCATACAGCTCATGAAAACCCAAAATTCCTATCTAAAAAAATTAGCATATCATAAAAAGGTTCTCTAAACGAGCTATTAACCTAATCATCTGATTCAGCTAATTAACTCTAAACACCTGCAAAAGATTCCTGAGGCTTTTAAAACTCCCAGCCTGGTTCATTACTCAAAACCGCAATCTTGGGTAACATTGCCGACCTGGCTGCTGTCCAGAAGGTCATCATTGACACCCTCAAGCAAGAGGGTAAGACACAGAAAGAAATTCCTGAATGAATAGGCTGTTCCCAGAGTGTTGCATCAAGGCACCTCAGTGGGAAGTCTGTGGGAAGGAAAAAGTGTGGCAGAAAACGCTGCACAACGAGAAGAGGTGACCGGACCCTGAGGAAGATTGTGGAGAAGGACCTATTCCAGACCTTGGGGGACCTGCGGAAGCAGTGGACTGAGGCCTAGTCCACACGTAGCCGGGTTTTTTTTAAAAACAAATTCAATTCAATTCAAGTTTATTTATATAGCGCCAAATCACGACAAGAGTCTTCTCAAGGCACTTCACATAATAAACATTCCAATTCAGGTCAGTTCATTAAGCCAATCAGAAATAATGTTTCCTATATAAGGAACCCAGCAAATTGCATCAAGTCACTGACTAGTGTCAGTGACTATACAGCAATCCTCATACTAAGCAAGCATAAAGCGACAGTGGAGAGGAAAACTCCCTTTTAACAGGAAGAAACCTCCAGAGAACCATGGCTCAGTATAAGCAGCCATCCTCCACGACTCACTGGGGATCGAGAAGACAGAGCAGACACACACACACACACACACCTAAACACACACACCTACACACACACACACACACACACACACACACACACACACACACACACACACACACACACACACACACACACACACACACACACACACACACACACACACAAAGACAAGTAATGTGTCTATAGTTATATTGTGATTTCTTAGTAAATATTCTATTTGGTGAAAGATAAACTTTATTGTATTTGTCCTAGTGGATCTATAATTAAACGGGTAAACTAGTAGTAGCACATTCAATGTCAAAGAGAGTAAAAAGTTATTATCAGGAGAGGGATAATGTTTTAGTGGTTAGCAGCAGTGTGCTAGACGATGGCCCCCTCCATGAGGCCACCACAGCTCAACAGAACATCATTGTAGCTTCTTCTGGGGAGAAAAACAGAGAGAAAATAAAGTTAACAGCTGAAATTGCAGAAAATAATACAGTTAAAGAGCAGATTGTAGAAGAAAGCAGTGGAGTGTGAAAAGTGGTCAGTGTATCCTCCAGCAGTCTAAGCCTATAGCAGCATAACTACAGAGATATCTCTGGATAATCTATCCTATTTAGATGGAGGCATGTTGGAGGCAGGGCAAGGGAGAGCCGTCTTTACCGACTGTACACTCCACCTCCCTCTCCTCCCCCACTGGTCCAGATCTGGGCTAACATCAGATTTTAACCATAGGCCCTATCAAATAAAAATGTTTCAAGCCTAGTCTTAAAAGTAGACAAAGTGTCTGCCTCACGGACTAAAGCTGGGAGCTGGTTCCACAGGAGAGGAGCCTGATAACTAAAATATCTGCCTCCCATCCTAATTTTAGATATTCTGGGAACCACCAGTAAACCTGCAGTCTGAGAGCGAAGTGCTTGGTTAGTAACGTATGGAACAATCAGATCACTGATGTATGATGGAGCTTGATTATTAAGAGCTTTATATGTGAGAAGAAGGATCTTAAAATCTATTCTGAATTTAACAGGTAGCCAATGTAGGTTAAGCTAAGACAGGAGAGATATGATCTCTCTTTTTAAATCTCATCGGAACTCAAGCTGCAGCATTTTGGACAAGCTGAAGACTTTTAACTACATTCTGTGGACTTCCTGAGAGTAATGAATTACAATAATCCAGTTTTGATGTAATAAATGCATGAACTAGTTTTTCAGCATCACTCCTGGAAAGGATGCTTCTAATCATAGCAATATTCCGAAGGTGGAAAAAGAAAATCCTACAAACCTGTTTAACCTGGGATTTGAATGACATGTCCTGGTCAAAGATAACACCAAGATTCCTTACTTTGTTCTCGGAGATTAATGTAATGCCATTCAGGTCAGGCGACTGGCTAAGCAATTTCCTTTTCTGGATCTCTGGTCCAAAGATCTGAACTTCCGTCTTGTCTTGATTTAAAAGCAAAAAGTTTAGAGTCATCCAATTTTTTATGTCCTCAAGACAAGCCTGTAATCTACCCAAACGATTAGGTTCATCAGGGTTAATGGATAAATATAACTGAGTATCGTCAGCATAACAGTGGAAGTTAATCCCATGCTGTCTAATGATTTACCAATTGGGAGCATATATATAGTAAAAAGAATTGGTCCAAGCACTGAACCCTGTGGTACTCCGCAAGTAACCCTGGAGTATGAAGAAGATTTGTCATGTACATTTACAAAATGAAATCTGTCAGACAGGTAGGATTCCCTATAACATGTTCAAGTCTTTCTAAAAGAACATTGTGATCAACTGTGTCAAAGGCAGCACTGAGATCTAACAAGACTAGAACAGACACAAGATTCTTATCTGAGGCCATGAGAGTATCATTTGTAACTCTCACTAACGCAGTTTCAGTGCTGTGATACTCTCTAAAACCAGACTGAAATTCCTCAAACAGAGCGAATACCCGCCCCTCCAAAAACTTGCATCCACACCACCTCGTTTTTAAAAAAAAAACTGTCCACACGTACCCGGATAAATACGTTGTTAAGGACATGCCAGACCTGTAGGCGGCAGTACTTCCCCCGTTCTTAACCTCGTCCTTCATCTGTGGTCTTCCGCAAGGAGCAGTAATTCCGCTTGCAAAAACAAACAAGCAAAAAGCGCTTGGGCAATTGATAAAGCGAGCGCAGCTCTGAGGGCATCCATGCTGTCGGCTAGTGTAAACACAGGTCGCACACGTGATGTCAGCATTTTTTTGTTGTGGAAAGTGACGTTGCGGACCTTAAAACTCCGGTTTTGTATGTCCACACGCAGACACCCAAAACGGAGAAAACGCAGATCTTCACTTTGGCCAGAGTTTTTAAAAAGATCCGTTTTCGTGTGAAAAAACTCAGTTTTCGTGTGGATGACAGGCCAAAACGCAGAAAAATATCTACGTTTTGGCAAATCCCCGGCTACGTGTGGACAGGGCCTAAGTCTGGAGTAGAAACATCCAGAGCCACCGTGTACAGGCATGTGCAGGAAATGGGCTACAGGTTCCGCATTCCCCAGGTCAAGCCACTTTTGAACCAGAAACAGCGGCAGAAGCGCCTGACCTGGGCTACAGAGAAGCAGCACTAGACTGTTGCTCAGTGGTCCAAAGTACTTTTTTCGGATGAAAGCAAATTTTGCATGTCATTCAGAAATCAAGGTGCCAGAGTCTGGAGGAAGACTGGGCAGAGGGAAATAACAAAATGCCTGAAGTCCAGTGTCAAGTACCCACAGTGATGGTCTGGGGTGTCATGTCAGCTGCTGGTGTTGGTCCATTGTGTTTTATCAAGGGCAGGGTCACTGCAGCTAGCTATCAGGAGATTTTGGAGCACTTCATGCTTCCATCTGCTGAAAAGCTTTATGGAGATGAAGATTTCATTTCTCAGCAGGACCTGGCACCTGCTCACAGTGCCAACACCACTAGTAAATGGTTTACTGACCATGGTATTACTGTGCTCCATTGGCCTGCCAACTCTCCTGACCTGAACCCCATAGAGAATCTGTGGGATATTGTGAAGAGAAAGTTGAGAGATGCAAGACCCAACACTCTGGATGAGCTTAAGCCGCTATCGAAGCATCCTGGGCCTCCATAACACCTCAGCAGTGCCACAGGCTGGTTGCCTCCATGCCACGCCGCATTGAAGCAGTCATTTCCGCAAAAGGATTCCCGACCAAGTATTGAGTGCATAACTGAACATAATTATTTCAAGGTTTTTTGTATTAAAAACACTTTTCTTTTATTGGTTGGATGAAATGTGCTAATTTTTTGAGATAGGAATTTTGGGTTTTCATGAGCTGTATGCCAAAATCATCAATATTAGAAACAATAAAAGGCTTGGACTACTTCAGTTGTGTGTAATGAATCTAATATATATGTGAAAGTCTAATGTTTGTCAGTACATTACAGAAAATAATGAATTCATCACAATATGCAAATTTTTTGAGAAGGACCCGTAGATAACTGGTTAATACTTGTTGCCCACAGCTCACATGTATTAAGCAGCTGCTGCCTGATGCTGTGGCCCTTGCTGTTGGTAAAAAGTAGAGGTTGACCAATATTGTTTTTTCTATTGCTGATATGATGCATGCAGATATGTAGAGGTCATGGTCAGCCAAAGGCCGATATCTAGACGTTTTCCACCATATCTGCATGTTAAAGTGTCACTAATAACATCAGTGGATGAAAACATTTCTGAAGCTGAATCTGTTTTTCAACAGTGCATTTAACCAACTGTTAGTGTACAAATCAGACATCTAACTAAACGTAATCAAACAATTAAATATTCATATTGGTAAATAAAAGGAAATTGGGTTGAAAACGTTTTAGAGAATTTATTATGCAGATGTCTTAAATATACATTTAAATTGTGCAGCATCAACGGGCTGCCCGGGGATGTGCCTGATTTTAAATCAGCTTTACTATGGAGGTGTACCAGTCGATGCTGATATATAAAAAATTGTAAATATTGTCCCAATATATCAGATGACCAATATATTGGTCTACCCCTTATTATTAAGAAGCCTTGTTTTACTTTCTGCTTACTGACGTTTGTGACATAAACACTTTGTTTGCCACCAGGGGTCAGCAGAGGTAAACTATTTAAGTACAGAGTAACGTTCAGTCAGAAACAAACATTTGATCATCTCTTTGTACTGATTTCATTTTCTAACTTTAAGCTCAGATTTGTTCCATAAATGAAATATTTAGTGGAGTCTCATTTAATTCTAGTTGAAATGAGTTCTGCATTTACCTCATGAGGCTTGTTTCTCTCTCTCTTATGCTGACTCCTGCAGAGATCGGTGATCTTCAGGACCTGGAGACACTTGACGTATCCATGAACCAGCTGATGTCTCTACCAGGCAGCCTGCACCGCTGTGTCTCGCTGCACAACCTGACAGTGGACCACAACCTGCTGAGCCATGTTCCTCGACAACTCTGCTGGCTACACTGCCTCAACCAGCTCTCCATGGCTGCCAACCGACTAACCTTCCTCCTACTTGGTGAGTTTTCCTTTATTTGTGGCTTTTTGTTGATTTGATATACAAATATTTGTGTTTTAGATCTCGGCAGATCCAGAGAGCTACAGTTTGTGTTTGTGGACAATAACACGGACCTAAAAGGTCTCCCGTCCTGCATGTACAACAAGGTCATTGGCTGCAGCGGGTTACACACCTGACTCACTTCTCCTGACTTCTCATGCTGCTGTCACAAAGGTGTGTGTGTGTGTGTGTGTGTGTGTGTGTGTGTGTGTGTGTGTGTGTGTGTGTGTGTGTGTGTGTGTGTGTGTGTGTACAGGTGTGGTGTATCCTACCAAGGGCTGGGGGTGCTGCATGATGCTCTGATTGGGCTTCCAGCTGAGGTGAAGGTGATTGGATCAGAGAAGGATAACGTGGTTCCTCTGGAGGAGCTAGCCATGAGGACTCTGCACCACATCCACCAGCAGCACCCAGCAGGTGAGCACATTTACACCAGTTCTACATTAAATGACGACAGAGGTGTGTTTGTAGTTTCTTGTGAGAAAACCACATCTCCCTGTTTGCTGTTTGAATCCTGACCTGTTTTGTCTCCAGGCCTGAACCTGCTGCCCCCCATCAGCCTCCCAAAGGTCCTGCTGGACCTGCTGCAGTTCCCTCTGGGTCACTGTCACCGGTGCAGCCAGGCCATGTTCACCATCACACACCCGAAGTTTTTCCTAATCCGCGACACGGCCCTGGCAGGAGTGCACCGCAGGTCAGAACACGGATTTGACCCTGTAGCAACAGACATGTTTAGTTCTGACATCTTTGTTCCTTCTGCAGAACCACAGTGAGTTTTGTGGCCTATTGCTGCTCCAGTCACTGCCACAGGACCTTTGACCTGCAGGGGTGATGGAACCCCCCCCCAAAAGTTCATCTTCAGTATTGAGGGGGACAGATAATGTCCTGTGGGCTGTCAGCTGGTGAAGCTAACCACACAGGAACTCTGCTACCTGCCATTGCAGATGCTGGACGATGGGACTGCTGCTCCTTGAGTTCATATTCCATCTCTCTGGACATAAAACACTTGTGGTCTAGCTGATCAGCTTGGGGTGTTTGGGTTCAGGATGATCACCATCAGTGTGAGACCTGAGGACCACTCACAAGAGAGAACTTTGACAAGCAAAGACTTTGATTCTTGGGAATTCATGGAGTCATTTTGTAATAATGCTAATTACTGAAGAATGTTTGAAGGTTTCTTATTTAAAAGTGTGTTAATTTTGTTATTTATAAATAATACAATTACTAGAAGCTAGTTGTCATTACTAGCCTTAATGTGCTCACTTAATGACACAGAGTGTCATTAAGTGAGCGACGATGTGTGTGTGTGTGTGTGTGTGTGTGTGTATTTATACACACACACACACATATATATATATATATATATATATATATATATATATATATATATATATATATATATATATATATATATATATATGTATATATATACACGCACACATATAAGGAACGATGAATGCGGCCATGTACATGCATATCCTGGACAGGATCCTTCTCCAGAGTACTCAGGACCTCAGACTGGACTGAAGGTTTACCTTCCAACATGACAATGACCCTATAGGCACACAGCTAAAATAATGATGGAGTAGCTTCAGGGCAACTCTGTGACTGTTCTTGAATGTCCCAGCCAGAGGCCTGACCCAACTGAGCATCTCTGGAGAAACCTAAAAATGTCTGTTCACCATCCAACCTGACAGAACTGGAGAGGATCTGCAAATCAAGGTGTAAGAAAGAAGCAAACACACAGCGCTTAATCCGAATGAGTTCCGGTGCTCAGCAGCTGGTACTTGCAATTTAAGAATAAAAAGGGAGGCTGGAGCACGCACCTATTAAATACTTTATTTGACCCTAGGGCTCCAGCCTTCATATTCTTGAGGTGTAAGAAACTTGTTGCATCAAGAAGACTCATAGAGTTCATACATCTATAAAAGTTCAGGACAAGCTGGGACATCACCATCATCATCATCATCAAAAAAACAACTGAATCACTCAAAAGTCAATGTGGTTCTTGGGTAGGCTGGGTGTTGATTTAAGACTCTGAGGAACCAAATTAATTTAAACTGCTAAATAATTACATGTAACTGGCATAGAAATAGAACTAGAAAATTCCTGAAGAGGTTTAAAAAAGGGATCTGCCACCTGGTCAAAGATGGTGTTTACACCAAGGCCGGAGTGGGACACATTTTCAGCCCTGGAGTTTCAGACCCCAGACCGGCCCACTTAACGAATTATTATTAAAATCATGTTAGAACTTTATATGTATAGTCTACAAAAGCACACTACTCGGTAAAGCCTTGTAATTGTAAAGCAAGAAAGAGTTGAAAGAGTTGAGTTGCTTTACAAGAAAGAGCAACTCTTTCTTGTAAAGCAAGAAAGAGTTGCTTTACAATGTAGGTTTATTTGAACATCAGTGCACATCTCCAACATTGTTCTTTACAACACATTCTCTAACAATATAACAATCTACATTCTGTTCAAACAGCTGTTCTGAGATTTTCAAACCTTTAAAATGAAATGACTCAGCACTCCCTTTCACACTTTTTCCAGTTTCCCTAGACTCACCTGCACACAATTAAAATAATCATCTGTAAAGCTTTGGCACATTTGATATGGAAAACACATCTTTGTAACCAATTAAAATATTTTCTATGGCAAAATATGCAGGCTTATTTAATTTTACTTTCATTCTAATAACGATCTGTTGTGGGCTTTGTGCATTTACTAACAGAAATACATCAGGTCACTACTATTATTTGGGCATTAAAATTATTATAATGAAACTGATGTTTGCTTGTTTGCACATGAGTTGGCTCACCTTCTATCCCAACAGGAGCAATACCCTCACTGCTGGCTCCTGGCTCTTCTTCTGACACTACATTGTGTGAAAATTGTCACAATTCAGCATTCATTTTCCTTTTTTACATGCTTTCTGATCAATGCTGAATCATCTAGCATTTTAGGACACTTTCATATAGAGCCAGGATAGTTTTCATCATATAAATTTCAATAATATTCAGTTCACTGACTCAATAAGTAATCCTACCAGTACATGCCCGCTCTGGAATTGTGGGTTTCTGCCGGGTGCTTATTAGGCCTACAGGATCTTGTGTTTGACTCTGACAAGACAGTTTGGTGGCATCAGTCACATCATACTGTAAATTATATTACATAACGTTATGTCATGATGCCATATAATTCATTATTGATGCTTAATTAACTTGAATGGTGATTTGCAGCCGGTAAAGTTTAACATCTTGACTTGCCTTACCCGTTTTATCTTCATTTGAAGTTAAAGACCGCAAGCTTGTTTGAGAAAAAAAGGTGCTCATTTTTGCACATTTAGCTGCATCCAGGGCCAGATTAAGACTTCGTTGTACCCTGGGCAACAATATTCAAGGGCCCCATCATCACGACCCAAGGATCACCATAATATGGTCACATACAGAATATTTTACTGTAATATGCAGTAAATATACTCAATGCTTGAATGCCTGACATCACGTAACCCGCTCAGGGTAACCTTTGACCCACCTTGTGTGGACTGACCAATGAGGAGAGGGTCTTAACTTGAGGCCCTCTCTTCATTGGTCAGTCTGCATGAGACTGACTCTCAACTGACGTTTAGTCATAGGCAGCGAAGTGTCTGTGCAGCACAAAAGCCCGGGTGGACAGTTTGTTTAGTACAGGGTGATCATATTTCCATTTCCAAACAAGAGAACAGGGGATCTGTGCCTATGACGTCACACTATGGCAACGCCACACAAACCACGTTGGGACCCATTTTCTTGTAAGAACTAAATTAATATCAGATTCTGCCAATAAAAGGGCTCTAAAACAATTCATATGTAAATATTTAGCATATGTATTGCAAAATCTCATTTTTCTGCTTTAGTGCTGCAACAAGGTTTTAATAATAATAAATTATTATAACTTTTGTTTTACTACAGCATCGGTACGCTTCCTGTGCACAGATTATTAAGGATGCTTGTTTCAGCTGTGAGATTAGACAATAGGATCAATGATAAAATAAGTTGTCACACACTCCATGGAAACTTTCAGAGAATCCACAAATAGTGGCTTTCAATTTCATCTGATAATATTAGAACATGTCAGTAATGTCTGAGGAGCTTTTATAAACACTGGATAACTAACAATACTGGAGAGGGTAACAATTACACAGAGGCTTCTGGGGAGCCCAGTTATGGGGTGGGTGGGGGGGGGGTCATTTTGCCTTGGCCCCCAAAATGTCTTGAAACGGCCCTGGGTGTGTGACTGAGTTTTGAAGGTGATTTGAATTGTATCAGATGTATAACTATGACATGTGTATAACTTATTGTTTTATACTGGTAAAAACTTGTAGTGGAGATAAATCTACCTACATTTTACTTTACACTTAGTTTTGTTTTCTTGTTTTTATTGAACTATTTCCTGTCCTGTCTGTCTCTCGTCTTCCTGCGTCTCCTCTAAACTCTCCAGAAAAAACTGCTGCCAGGATTCTTACTTTTTCACCTCATCAGTTACTTTTGAGCAGATCAAATGGATCTCCTGACCGCAAAGCGGAGTGCGCCTTTCGATGCTGCGTCAGTGAGGTGAAATCACCGCAGCACCGCGCAGCACAGGTGATGAGCTGCGCAGCAGCAGAGCGCTTCAGGCACAAATAAGACAGAAAATAGAGAATATGTGCGGACATGAACGATCGTGTGCTAATTATAGTTTTTTGGTTGCGCCACTTTGAGAATGGACCGTGCGCTGGACGCAGCTGCCTGGATCGCTGCGCAATAACGCGCTGTGCCGCTCTTTGTGCTCTCTGCTCAGAAGAGTCCATAAATGATGTAATATAGATAGAAAACTTGTTTCCGGCTCCCCTGGATGTGTAAGATATACAGCTCCCCCATAATTCGATCCCTGCTCCTGGATGAAAAGCCGGACATTTTCATCAATACAAGAACCCGCAGTCCGGACGCCCGGACAGAGAGTGAAAAGTGGACATGTCCGGGGAAAACCGGACATACGGTCACCCTAGTTTAATATAATGCGGGAGATTACAGACATGCCTACAGTATTTTGCTCGTGCGCTTGCTGGCCTGGGCCCCTTAGAGTTCGTGGGCCCTGGTCAATTGCCCAGTTGCCCATATGGTTAATCCGGCCTTGGCTGCATCTGTTTCCAACGCTTTCCTCTTTTTAATTCTTGCCTTCTCCGCGCCACCCTTGCTCTTTCTACTTTCCATCTTTCCGTCAACTGCGTGGTCACGTGGTGCGCACAGGCGCATACTGGGGAAAAAAAACGAGCTGCAGCCTGCAGGTAGAGCCAGCCAGAGACAGCCGGGAGGAGCGTATGTGATCAGCCCGGCGGCCTCAGTGCCATGACTGAACACCGGCACCAAAAAATAAAAATAAAATGATAAAAAACAAAAACGAGAGCACCGGCCCCATGCGGCCCAAACATCGCGCGGCCCACCGGGAATTCTCCAGACCCTCCCGATTAGCCACTCCGGGCCTGGTTTACACACATGTAAAAAATGCCACACACTCAAAGGTTCAACGGGATGGATCAATCTGCACAAAAATGAGACATCTTTTGAAGTCTTGCTAATTATTTCACCATGGTAAATCAGATCACGTGTAAAAATAACAGCACACCTCCCGCGGCCGAGCCGCTCGTTACGTATAATATGTGGGGGTGCACGTTGCCGTTCGAGCCGCCTTAACATCCGCGGAAGAATAATAGTAAAGTAATTACATTTTATTTATTTAGCACTCATCACAGACACCGAATCACAAAGTGCTTCACGTAGATCAACAACAAAACAAATCAATACAAAATGGATCTTGGACGTGTGGGAGGGGTAGGAAACGACTGCTGGTTGTTTTTAATATTGTAAAGCGTTTTGAGCTGCACTTGTATGAAAAGCGCTTCATAAATAACATTTAATTTGATTTGATGAAGTCATAAAATCATAATGATCTTCAACAAAACAAATAAATTTAAATCATAAAAACAAAGTCATAAAATTGCAAATGATCATAAAACCAATGAAAGATTATTACAAATTTGAGTTAAAAATAGGAAAAAATATTTTGGTAAAAGCAGCTTTAAATAAAAGGGTCTTCAGCTGTTTTTTAAAGACTGTCAGTACTACATAAGGTTAAAGGAAGTTCATTCCAAAGCCAGGGTGCAACAACCTGGAAGGAGCGATCTCCTTGACTTTTAAATCTGGTCTTTGGAACTTCCTGGGTCGGATCAGAAGAAACAAAAAGGACATAATCCTCGGGTGGAGAGCAAAGCAGCGTCAGCGTCGTCGTTGCCCTTTTAGAACTTTGCTTTATGACATCATCATAATCATCTTCATCATCATCATCATCATTCAGTTCTCAGTGACGCACCGTCAGAGACAGCCGTGTTTGCTCGTTGTTCGATAGTTTTTCAACTTATCGTCTACGTGTTATTTAGCATCATGGGAGACTCTTTTGCTCACAAGAGTTACTCTCAAGCTCTGGTTAAAGATTCAGAGACTTATATTAGCATGGAACAACCGCATTTGTCAGAGAATCGTGGTTTAGTTTCAGCAACCAAACGGAAAGCCGTTTCAGACCCTGGACCTCTCACAAAAAGGTTTAAGGTTTCTGATGAAGGCAAACTCTCTGAAAACAACCAGAACATTATACAAATTGACAAATTCACAAAGAAATCAATTTCCTTTGATGGTGAGGGATCTGAAAATCCAGACAAGGAATACAGATATTTGGTTCCTGAGAAAGGATCGTCTTCTGCCAAAAGGAAAGCTGTTTTTCATCACGAACCTCCCACAAAACGGTCTAGGGTTTCAAGTAAAGGCAGTGTCTCCAGAGTTAACCTAGATGAGACATCCAGAGCCTCAAAGAGGTCACACTCACCAGATGGCGTGGGATCTGGAAATCCAGACAAGGAATGCAGATATTTGGTTCCTGAGAAAGGATCGTCTTCTGCCAAAAGGAAAGCTGTTTTTCATCACGAACCTCCCACAAAACGGTCTAGGGTTTCAAGTAAAGGCAGTGTCTCCAGAGTTAACCTAGATGAGACATCCAGAGCCTCAAAGAGGTCACACTCACCAGATGACGTGGGATCTGGAAGTCCAGCAAAGAGAATCAGACAGTTTGATTCTGTGAGTCCCTCGTCTTCAGCCAAAGATCAGTTTGAGGCAAAATACGAGCAAAAAGATCAGCTCGGAAAGGGTGGCTGTGGATCTGTTTATGGTGGCTACCGCAGGGCAGACAATTTACCTGTGGCAATCAAACATATACCAAAAGAAAATGTAGTCTGGACAGATATGGACGAGAATGGCCAGCAACTCACCATTGAGGTAGCCGCCATGCTAAAACTCCAGACAGAATTAGCTGATTCGGTGGGGAAGTCCGCCCCAATTTCCCTCCTGGACTGGTATGACTTCAACCAGGAACAAATTCTGGTGTTGGAGAGACCAGTGCCTGCAGTGGACCTCTCACAGTTTATTAAAAATAACAAAGAGCCCCTACAGGAGAATACGGCTAAAACAATTATTAAACAGCTGGTTGATGCCGTCAAACATCTGGAGGACACCAACATCTTCCACAGAGATATCAAACCACAAAATATTCTGATTGAAACAGGATCAGAAATCCCGCGACTGCGACTGATTGACTTTGGACTGAGTTGTTTCACCGACACAGAACATAAAGACGGCTGGTTCTACGGCACACCGAAACACGTCCCTCCTGAGTTTATTTCCAAAGGCATTTATGAGGCAGGACCAGCAACCGTGTGGCAGGTGGGAATTGTTCTCTATGAAATGCTCCACGAAAGTTTGTTTGACTCAAAAAAGTTTTTCAATAACGAACTCGGAATCAGGACGGATCTCTCTCCATACTGTACCAACTTCCTAGAGAGCTGTTTAATTATGAGCCCAGGGTGGCGTCCCACCTTAAAGCAGCTCCAGCATCACCCTTGGCTTTGGTAAAACAGAAACTAAAGTCTTTAAAGCTCTGGACCCAATTCAACTGGCACAAAGCTAGATCCCTCCTAACTCAGACACCCCTCAACCCCTAACAGAGTCACCTATCATCTCCTACATTTCCCTCATCCCACTGCAGGACTGAGCCCAAAAAAAGGCCCTGGCAGTCCACCATAACTGTTTATATGATAGGATATGCAAAGGCACACAACACACCAGAGAATCAGCATGTTGTGTTAGTAACCAGAAAGAGGAAAATAAACAGCTGGATCAAGAAAAAACTGTCAAACCAGACCCAGAGAAGAAAGTTGAGGTGATTCATGCACCCCTCCCTCTGGAAAACCCGCAGAAACGTCAGACAACGAAGGGAACATCCTTCAAAAGGAAACAGGAGAGAGAAAGTTAGTCACAGAGAAAATGTTAGAAAAAATATAAATTCTCAAGCAGCAGGTGGAAAAAGCCGGAAACCAAAATCCAAATGGAAAATGTTAGAATGGTTTAGTTCCATTATGCAGATTTCAGCCTGAGACAGGCTGTTATTTGTTGCTTTAGTGTAGCTTTATCTGCTATTAGATATTATTACTTATAATAAATTATAAACCCTAGTTAGGAAGTATGAATCACGTCCACACACATCCCCACGTGTCCCTAAATCTGTAAAAAAAAGGCAACACAAGGATGATGTCACAGAAAACCCTCGTGGAAATCCTTTCTGTGTGTCCTTGTGCTGCGGGGGGGTTTTCTCTGGGAGCTCCAGTTCACCCCCCACCCAGGAATATTCTAGTCCAACTTATCGTCTATGACTTATTTAGCATTATGGGCGACTCTTTTGCACACAAGAGTTACTCTCGAGCTCTGGTTAAAGATTCAGAGACTTATATTAGCATGTAACCACCGCAAAATTACAAATGATCATAAAACCAATGAAAGATGATTACAAATTTGAGTTAAAAATAGGAAAACAAAAGATTTTGGTAAAAGCAGCTTTAAATAAAAGGGTCTTCTGTCACGGTCTGGGGTTTTTTCACACACTAATTGGTGTAGAGTCTCATCTCTCCTCTGCAGGTGGGCGTGCCTGGAAGTTGGGAGGCTGCAGGTAATCTGCTGATTAGCTGGCCAGGGATATTTAAGCTCCTGAGAGACGCCTTCACTTCGCTGGATGATTAACTCAACTTGGGTATTTCTCCTAACAGCCAAATCTAAACTAAGCTTTGATTTTTGAGAATTTCTGGGTTACGGATTTTTGATTTTTGAGATCTCTGTGTTTTTGACTGCTTGTTTTGCCTCCTGCAGATATCACCTATCAGTTCACCTCGTTTGCTGCTACCAACCTGGTTTCTTCACTGTCCACTCGTCTCTCAGCGTCCTCCTCTGGTCTTCCCACTCCAGGCTGCCCACCCTCCCTCCTGGATCACCATTACCCTTCATGCTCAGCTCCCTCCTCATTTGGACTCCAAGCTCATCAGCCTCCAGTAAGCCTCCTGCCCTCCCCAGACCGGTCACTCCTCCCTCTCTCACGAGGTCTCACCTCCAACCTGTAAGTTCCATCAGATCCAACATTCAGATTTCCGAGTGCCAGACCTAACTCTCCCTGTTCCTCCAGGATTCTCCACACCCGAACCTCGCTTCTCTGCCGAATACTGCTAGACTTCCTAGCAGCTCCTTCTGTTCTCCTTTTCTAATAAATTATTGTTTGCGATCTTTGACTCTGTGGACTGATTCTGTATGTCGTGGGTTAGGCATCTACCACACAACATGACATCTTCAGCTGTTTTTCAATGGTTACCAGACTGTCAGTACTACATAAGGTTAAAGGAAGTTCATTCCAAAGCCAGGGTGCAACAACCTGGAAGGAGCGATCACCTTGACTTTTAAATCTGGTCTTTGGAACTTCTTGGGTCGGATCAGAAGAAACAAAAAAGGATGTAATCCTCGGGTGAAGAGCAATAAGGGCCTTTCCAAAAATCAACTTTAACCTCGTCTTTGCCCTTTTAGAACTTTTATGACATCATCGTCACCATCTTCTCATTCTACCAAGCATTCAGTTCTCAGTGACGCACCGTCAGAGACAGCCGTGTTTGCTCGTTGTTCGATAGTTTTTCAACGTATCGTCTACGTGTTAATAAGCATCATGGGAGACTCTTTTGCTCACAAGAGTTACTCTCCAGCTCTGGTTAAAGATTCAGAGACTTATATTAGCATGGAACAACCGCATTTGTCAGAGAATCGTGGTTTAGTTTCAGCAACCAACGGAAAGCTGTTTCAGACCCTGGACCTCCCACAAAAAGGTTTAAGGTCTCTGATGAAGGCAAACTCTCTGAAAACAACCCAAACAAATGTATAAATAGACAGCTTCTCAAAAAGAATCATTTCCTTTGATGAGGGATCTGAAACTCAAGAAAAGGAATGTTGATTTTGGGTTCCTGAGAATGGATCGTCTTCTGCCAAAAGGAAAGCTGTTTTTCATCACGAACCTCCCACAAAAGGGTCTAGGGTTTCAGGTGTAGAAAGCAGGTATAACATGTTTAAGGTAGAAAACTGAAACATCATAACTCAGCGTTAGTGTTTAGGACGTACCCTACAACCCTAACATGTTCAACCAGCAACACATTCTCACTCCCAGCGCGTCAAAAACTAACGCTTGGTCCGTCAGACCCCCTGACGCCAAAAGTGCCCTTTTTCGTTACTTATGTGTGAAAAGGGGTTTTCCCCTTTTCTGACTGCAGATCCCAATGCAGCGTAAAACTGACGTGATGGGATGTCCGCAGCCAGAGCACCAAACAAGCTCATTGTACCTCACCTTAACCTTATCGTCTTATTTAACCCTCCCCTCAGCCCTATCCTAACCTTAACCATCTTGCTAGCGAACACGTTAGTGATGTGTCGATCGCTCTAAAAGCCGGCTCTATGAAGTGAACGGTGGGAGCCGCCTCGTCATTGGTCGGGTTTGGACCGAGCCAACGCGAGGGGGAGGTTTCAACTACCACGGTGGAGGTTAAAAGTAGAGGGTATTTGTAACCTCCCCCTCGCCAGCTGGTATGTTCTAGCGTTCCCCTTGGGCGGCAAATACGAAAATTCACAGTCAGAATGCATGGGAAACAAATGCTTGATCACAGTGAGAGTAACGTTTTAGGTAGACAGAGGGTTAAGGTTAGGATGAGGGAGAGGGGAAGGTTATAAATACTGAAACGTTAAGGTTTAGGTGCGGTTAAATGAGCTGGTTCGGTGCCTTATCAGTAATCAGTATATAAGTAACGAAAAAGGGCACTTTTGGTGTCTGGGGTCTGACGTGGAGGGTGGCTGACCAAGCGTTTGTTTTTGACGCGCTGGGAGTGAGAATGTGTTGTTCAACCAGGTAAGCACCCCAGTGGGTCTTGGCAGACGGTCACTCATACTGAGCCAGGTTCTGCTGGAGGTTTCTCCCTGTTAAAGGGGAGTTTTCCTCTCCACTGTCGCTACATGCTTGCTTAGTATGGGGATTGCTGTAAAGTCACTGACTTGACTAGTCAGTGACTTTACAGCAATCGGCTGGGTTTCCTTACATAGAGACATTCAACTAATCAGAATAATGAACTCAATTAATTGTTCAATAATTTGGTTCAACTGGAGTGTTTGCACTTTAAAGTGCCTTGAGAGGATTAGTTTTACAAATTGGTAATATATAAGTAAACTGAATTAAGATAAATCAAGATGGAGAATAAAATTTTATCCAATTGGAAAAAAAAACTAACTCTGCCAGAGTGTCCCTCTCTGGGTCACTTCTGCCGGTCCCAAGCCCGGATAAAAGAGGAGGGGTTGAAATTGTGACACTGATAAAACATTCCATGAGGTATTCATTCAGCTATGGTTTTAAACACATTTACATGAAGGAAGACATCAAGTGCTGCATATGCCTGTTAATCACTCATTCATTTAAGTCTGTTAATCACTCATTCATTTAAGTCAGGTGTGTGTGCTGACTGAGAGGGCAACATGGAAACCATGTATAGCAGGGGGTCCTGAGGACTGGATTTGAGAAACACAAGAACGTATTAGCGTATTGAGAAAGAGACCTGGCTGCAACAAAAAGTGTCTATCTATCTATCTATCTATCTATCATCTATCTATCTATCTATCTATCTATCTATCTATCTATCTATCTATCTATCTATCTATCTATCTATCTATCTATCTATCTATCTATCTATCTATCTATCTATCTATCTATCTATCTATCTATCTATCTATCTATCTATCTATCCATCCATCCATCCATCCATCCATCCATCCATCCATCCATCCATCCATCCATCCATCCATCCATCCATCCATCCATCTATATATGTAACATGATGAAGGAGCTATTCCTCCAAAGGTATCATTTTGTAAATGTACATGACAAATCGTCTTCATACTCCAGGGTTACTTGTGGAGTACCACAGGGTTCAGTGCTTGGACCAATTCTTTTTACTATATATATGCTCCCAATTGGTAAAATCATTAGACAGCATGGGATAAACTTCCACTGTTATGCTGACGATACTCAGCTATATTTATTCATTAACCCTGATGAACCTAATCGTTTGGGTAGATTACAGGCTTGTCTTGAGGACATAAAACATTGGATGACTCTGAACTTTTTGCTTTTAAATCAAGACAAGACGGAAGTTCTCATCTTTGGACCAGAGATCCAGAAAAGGAAATTGCTTAGCCAGTCGCCTGACCTGAATGGCATTACATCTCCGAGAACAAAGTAAGGAATCTTGGTGTTATCTTTGACCAGGACATGTCATTCAAATCCCAGGTTAAACAGGTTTGTAGGATTTTCTTTTTCCACCTTCGGAATATTGCTATGATTAGAAGCATACTTTCCAGGAGTGATGCTGAAAAACTAGTTCATGCATTTATTACATCAAGACTGGATTATTGTAATTCATTACTCTCAGGAAGTCCACAGAATGTAGTTAAAAGTCTTCAGCTTGTCCAAAATGCTGCAGCTAGAGTTCTGATGAGAATTAAAAAGAGAGAGAGATCATATCTCTCCTGTCTTAGCTTCCCTACATTGGCTACCTGTTAAATTCAGAATAGATTTTAAGATCCTTCTTCTCACATATAAAGCTCTTAATAATCAAGCTCCATCATACATCAGTGATCTGATTGTTCCATATGTTCCTAACCGAGCACTTTGCTCTCAGACTTCAGGTTTACTGGTGGTTCCCAGAATATCTAAAATTAGGATGGGAGGCAGATATTTTAGTTATCAGGCTCCTCTCCTGTGGAACCAGCTCCCAGCCTTAGTCCGTGAGGCAGACACCTTGTCTACTTTTAAGACTAGGCTTGAAACATTTTTATTTGATAGGGCATATGGTTAAAATCTGATGTTAGCCCAGATCTGGACCAGTGGGGGAGGAGAGGGAGGTGGAGTGTACAGTGGGTAAAGACGGCTCTCCCTTGCCCTGCCTCCAACGTGCCTCCATCTAAATAGGATAGATTATCCAGAGATATCTCTGTAGTTATGCTGCTATAGGCTTAGACTGCTGGAGGATACACTGACCACTTTTCACACTCCACTGCTTTCTTCTACAGTCAGCTCTTTAAATGTATTATTTTCTGCAATTTCAGCTGTTAACTTTATTTTCTCTCTGTTTTTCTCCCCAGAAGAAGCTACAACGATGTTCTGCAGAGCTGTGGTGGCCTCATGGAGGGGGCCATCGTCTAGCACACTGCTGCTAACCACTAAAACATTATCCCTCTCCTGATAATAACTTTTTACTCTCTTTGACATTGAATGTGCTACTACTAGTTTACCCGTTTAATTATAGATCCACTAGGACAAATACAATAAAGTTTATCTTTCACCAAATAGAATATTTACTAAGAAATCACAATATAACTATAGACACATTACTTGTCTGTGTGTGTGTGTGTGTGTGTGTGTGTGTGTGTGTGTGTGTGTGTGTAGGTGTGTGTGTGTGTGTGTGTGTGTCTGCTCTGTCTTCTCGATCCCCAGTGAGTCGTGGAGGATGGCTGCTTATACTGAGCCATGGTTCTCTGGAGGTTTCTTCCTGTTAAAAGGGAGTTTTCCTCTCCACTGTCGCTTTATGCTTGCTCAGTATGAGGATTGCTGTATAGTCATTGACACTAGTCAGTGACTTGATGCAATTTGCTGGGTTCCTCATATAGGAAACATTATTTCTGATTGGCTTAATGAACTGACCTGAATTGGAATGTTTATTATGTGAAGTGCCTTGAGAAGACTCTTGTCACGATTTGGCGCTATATAAATAAACTTGAATTGAATTGAATTTGCTTTTTAAAAAACCCAGCTACGTGTGGACTAGGCCTCAGTCCACTGCTTCCGCAGGTCCCCCAAGGTCTGGAATCGGTCCTTCTCCACAATCTTCCTCAGGGTCCGGTCACCTCTTCTTGTTGTGCAGCGTTTTCTGCCCTAAAACTCAGCATATCTAGCAATATGGACATTCAGAAAGCAGAGATAACCTCTTCCGATACTTAAACAGATGTTTATCGTGGATATTAGTTTTTCCAGTTCGGAAGTTGTTTTAAGTGTTGCTATTTGTCTTAAACGTTCACAATGAGGATATATTAATCCTTTTTGCAATATTTGCGATTGAAAGATGGTTTGTGGTAAGAACTGGCTTTCTTTATGTTACAGCCTTGATACTAAAAAATAAATAAACAATGTAAAATGGCACCCTGTAT